ATGTTCCTTTATCCTTTTTGCTTCACTCTCTCTTTTCTCTCACTCTTTCTTTCTCCTCACTCTTCCTCTTTCTCTTGCTTCTCTCTCTCTGTCCCTTTCTCTCTCTCTTTTCTCTCACTCTTTCTTTTCTCCTCACTCTTCCTCTTTCTCTCGCTTCTCTCTCTCTGTCCCTTTCTCTCTCTCTTTTCTCTCACTCTTTCTTTCTCCTCACTCTTCCTCTTTCTCTTGCTTCTCTCTCTCTGTCCCTTTCTCTCTCTCTTTTCTCTCACTCTTTCTTTCTCCTCACTCTTCCTCTTTCTCTCGCTTCTCTCTCTCTGTCCCTTTCTCTCTCTCTTTTCTCTCACTCTTTCTTTCTCCTCCTCTTCCTCTTTCTCTTGCTTCTCTCTCTGTCCCTTTTCTCTCTCTTTTCTCTCACTCTTTCTTTCTCCTCACTCTTCCTCTTTCTCTCGCTCTCTCTCTCTGTCCCTTTCTCTCTCTCTTTTCTCTCACTCTTTCTTTCTCCTCACTCTTTCCTTTTCTTGCTTTCTCTCTCTGTCCCTTTCTCTCTTTTCTCTCACTCTTTCTTTCTCCTTATTCTTCATTTCCTCTCACTCTTTATTCCCCCTCACTCTTTTCCTCTTTCTCTCGCTTCTCTCTTTCGGTCCCTTTCTCTCTCTCTCTTTTCTCTGGCTCTCTCTCTCTCTTTTTCTCTCTCTTTTTCTCCACACTATAGCTTTTGTGCTGTTTTCTTTGAGTCTGTCTTTCATTAGAGACATTAAATGTAAAAATGTTGGCATCTTTGTTTAATAAATCCCACTCGTTATATATCTAATCATTAAATTCAATGAAAATTTGGACGTATTTGTTTAATAAATCTTACTGGTTATATATTTTATTAGAGAGAATGAAAATTATGATGTATTTGTTTAATAAATGCCACTTGTGATTTTACATAAAAAGCTCATTTAATATAAGCAGCTAGATTTGCACACTAAAATTGATGTGGGTCATTTGTTAAATACAGATTCTTTTATTTTGTTTTACTATGAAATCGTTAGAGATATCTTTCAGCATTTTTTGATTGTTCGTGGAATCCAGGGTCCAGGGAATTTACACTGGTTTATCTTTGCTTTAAATTTTTTTATCTCTCCCGAAGGAGAGTTACTGCCTGGAGGTACGGCCTCCTTGCTCTTGATCTAATATTATTTTGATATTTTCCCATCAAAAGTTCCAGGTACTGGGTATTTACCGGTCTACCCACGGCGACGTAATATGACAAAATGTCGAGTTTAATGTGGGGTACCCGAGCGAGTACACCCGGGCCAAAAATTGCCCAATCCCCGCAACTATAGGTTGCGCTGGCATCGATATAACTACCAATCCCCCATCTCTAGTAAAATGAGGGCAGTTCAACCGCGGGAAGCCGCTCCCGGGGTCGGGTACTTCTCAGTATTTTTTTTCCTCTGTCTGCGGACAGGGACACAACCGAGTCACACTCTACCCAAGACAGAGACGAAACTAAGAGATGATTACACTAACTGACCTGTGCCAGATAAGTATGGGTATTTTTCAGTTGCTACCGAATGCGACACAAGTTCATGTTTAAAGTGGGTTTAACGGTAATACGTGTAAAGATTGTCAAATCTTGCTTAGCAGTCCCCTTTCAGGGATGACTCAGCCATCGAGCAATAAACCGAGCCCTCTCTCGAAGGAGGGGCGCTTACCCGGAGGTAAGCCCATTGGACTTGGGCTTAATATATTTTGTGGGACTTTCCCAGCATTTCTCCTCAGATTTGTATATGATTAACAAATGTAATTTTTTTTATAAGCGTTTCACCCCAAGCAAGGCGGGTAGACACTCAAGGGGTTACAGAGAGTTGGAGTGAGACCAAATAGGAGTGATAGAGGAAAGGATGAAGAGAAGGATAGGGGATAGATCAAGGCATCTGGTGACGTCGATTGATATTACATTTGAATAGTTGGAGATTATAGCTATCAGAGAAACAGGAAAGGGGGAGGGAGTTCCACAGGCAAGATGTGCGAGACATGAAGCTATTGGAGTAGAACAGACGGCTACATTTAACAGTTTCGACAGTGAACGGGTGTGAGCGAGATGCCAGCCTAGTAGAACGCGTAAATTCATGAAGTCTGGGAACCAGCGAAAGCAGCTCATTTTACTTCAGAAACGCTAAAGGTTTTTGTTCCGGCGCAATAATTTAAAATTTACTGGGCTCCAATTTGTTATTCTGTCATCAGTTGAATCCGATTCGTACGCAATGTGTGTGTAGCAATGCAATTGTTAATAATTCGGCTGTTACGGAGCAAACAAACTGGATTCGGTTTAAATGCGATAATACAAACAAGAGAGAAAATACGCGGTAAAACAAACAAAGCAAAAACAACATTAAACCAAATACCACAGAATTGGGACAGGCGCGTCCATATTTACAATGAATGCAATGTTTACAACTTGGTGAAACGAAAGGGTTCATATACACGGAATGTATAAAATCGACCTTTACGAGATTACATTGTATATAGTTTCTACTTCCCTTTGTGGATTCTTTTCCTGTTTTCTCAATACAGTTGGGTCATCGGATGACGATGTAATCTCCCACCCCACCTTACAAGTGACCTACCTATTTGTTTTGTTTTCACTCCTGGGTGTTATGTCAAAAGGACCGTGCGTTGATCTGTGCCATATACTTAGAGGATGTTTTCCCGCCACAACCTGTTTACTCGCCAAAAGCGTGACTGTGTATATTTCTCTGTGTTTACATTTTGCTTTAAAAGCATTGGTTTGAACGGCATATTTTAACAATGGCCAGGTTAATCCAGTTAAAACAAAAGAACAAAATAAAATTACTCATAGACTGACACAACAGATAGGAGGTCGTATTAGAGAAGGGAGTTCGCATGAATGCATTTTTGTACCTGAAAAAAAATTATACATACCAAAAATAGCCGTCCTGGGTATGACGATAAACTACATCCGCGATAAACTACGTCCAACAGCAAGGCCTCTGATCAGGAGGTTTTGAGGAGCGTGGAACCACCTCTTAATTGCTGGTTTTCCCAGGTCCACCCTGACCCATGGTAGCAGCACCTGTTAGGGTCCCAGCTATGGGCAAATAGTTAATCCCCAAACTGGGGTTAAAACACTATGAAAATACATTTTTGAAGAAAAATATATTACCAGTAGTAAAAATCTTGTCGGCATTAAGTAAGCCATTGAGGTTGATATGCCGTAAAACAAAACAAACCAAACCATACATTTTTGAAGGAAAAAATATTAGCAGCAATAAAAAAAACTTGTCGGCATTAAATAACCCATTGATATGTCATAAAACAAGATAAACCAAAGCAAAGCAAAGCTAACCAAAAAGGGATTATTGCTACCATGTCTGGCCTGCGGTTGCCTAATCCTCTCTTTTAAGTATTGGGCTAGAAGAAATCAGAGAGATAAGTTCGAATTCTAGTCGGGTTCATTACAGTTACTTAGTCGTAAATACCGGTGGGGAAGTTATAAATTCATCACTTCTCCCCCTCCCAGCTACGGGCTGGGTAGCAAGTTGGCAACCAGTCTATCGAATGAAATAGTAAGCCATTGCACGGTGGAGTTATGGATAGCGTCTCGGATTGAGGAATCGGAGAGCCGAGTTCGAATTCCAGTCGAATCCATTACATTCACTTATGTGCTAATACTCTTGAAAAAGGTATGAATCCTCCTCTTCTCCCCTATGGGTAAATAACAAGACAGACCGGGTTCTATAGCCTTGGATGGCAACTGGTCTACCGCAGAAAGAAAATGGCAACCTACAGCGGGAAAAAATCTGCATCGTCAGTCATGTATCACAACTGACTGAAGCCATTGCGGGAAAAATCTTCTATCAAGTAAGTCATGAATCAAGAGAGACATGATAGTCCAAGCGTGTATTACCGATAGCACAACTGACTGAATTAGATAAATACCCTTTTGAAAGGTATGAATCCATCTTTTCTCTCAGGCATCGTTTAAATAATACGACTCTCAAAAATTGTTATTCTTACGAATGTTTTGCATATCAATTTTCACACTTGACAGACTTCCAAAACGTTTACACGGCCTTGTGGCTGATGAATTATTTTCCTACGTACAACTTTCCTACAGACAAAACTTCGTAAGCCTCTTGCTCTTTCATGGAAAATGTAATTTCACCATTCAGTCATTTACAGCTAAGATACACCATGCCCTGAATACGAATCAGGAATCGAATTAACCCCTAATCCCTTTTTTTCCTTTCATAAAAAGGAAGTTCCTTTCGAAGAGTTTCTTCGGAACAGACTCCAGATAGGATGCTTCTCCAATCACTACAATTTCAATGTCTTCAAATCTTGTGTCAACCGTTATCTATCCTACATATCCTCATAACTGCATTTCTGAACACCTCTGTTTACGTCAACGTTATTCAGAAAACCTCTCTAAAAAATTCCACCGTACTTTTCTTTTGGTAAGCCCCAGTTTAGAAAATTAAACATGACCCTATTTGGGTGTGTTGGGGAGGTACTGCTCATTGAAAAGGAACATTCGCTGCTTATCAGTGATAATGATTTAATGCAAGTGTTATACACAGAAAAGTGGACATATTGAAATTAAGTGGAAAAGAATATAAACGACGCACTTCGCCAACATTTGTTGGTTTCGGCTACTTCCGGTCAGAATGAAAAACAAAACTGTGTGTAAGGAAACTGAGTTGGGATCATTGAGGTTAAGAGGGTCAATAAATTAAAATTACCTCAATAGGTCTGACGACCAGAAACTGGAAAGTGTTTGTTTGTTTGTTTATTATATATATATATATATATATATATATATATATATATATATATAAAGGAGATGTTGTAGTTGTTTCAACGGGATAAAAGAGTATATTTTAAAGAGAGAAGACGCCACATCCGGTTTTGGATATAGTGCGGATTTTTTATATATTATATTTTATTTTTTATATTTTCTGTTACACGGGTTTCGGGTCTTGTGAACTTCATCAGCCGAAGAATGATTATTTCCACAAATACTCGAATGCACAGGCCGATGGACGTACTGAATAAAAATGGTGATTCTATTTCAAATATTTTTTTCTAATTTTTATAGTAAATTTGCTAATTTTTCTTTGTCAATAGTCAGAAACTTAAGTAAACATTATTAGGAGAGTCATCATCATCGTTATCAGTCCCATGACCAGGTGTGGTTTTAGGGTCGCTGCGCAACAGAACACCTGACCAATTCACTCCACATATCTAGATTGAAAGAAGGAGAGTTATTTATTTATGGGTATCTTAATCAAGTAGATCGGGCGGAGCCCATCGCTCTCCAGGCCAAACCCCAGCCGATGTCATCCAACTTAAAGGATCGCGGACAGGTGACCGTTGGCTCCATTATTGGCGGCGGGGAGGTCACTATGGCCATTGCACCGCCTGTTTTCATATCTATGAAGACCAGTTTACCCAAATGTACAAGATGACTTTTGGCCCTAAAGAAATTTTCCCTTTTTAAATGTCTTTCTTTTACTCCTGCTTGTCCACCTTCCTGACGAAACAAGGCCTGGTAGGGGAACCGGTTTATGACTCAACCATATGGGAATTCATACTATATTATATGGTACGGGCAGCACTTATACAGTGACACTAGAGAATAGGATAATTACATGTATACTAGATGCATATTCGTCTATATCTCTGAGATGAGGTATTATTATGATAACATACATTATTCGC